TATTAGAGGGCTTCGACTCGGTGGAGACAGTGGTGCACGCGTCTTTCTACCGGGCAAGCGCCGAGTACTACAAGGTACTGTGCCTCCACCATATCCTGCATGGTTATGCGCTTACTTCCCTAGTCTAAGCACGAGTTTGCTGCCTACTACAAGAATGCGCTCCTGTTCCTTGCGTGTATCGATCTCGCAGATCTCGACCTGCGCGAGCGTCAATCCCGCGCCTACGACCTCAGCATCGCCGCCCTCGTTTCTGACTCCATCTACAACTTCGGCGAGCTTCTCCTCCACCCCATCCTCGATTCCCTTGTCAACACACCGCACGCATGGCTGCGCGACCTGCTCTTTGCATTCAACCGGGGCGATCTGACCGCGTACGATGTCCTTGCCGGCAACATCTCGAAAGTACCGTTGCTTAAGGAGCACCAGACTTTCCTATATCAGAAGATCTCGTTATCCGCGTTGACGGAGACCGTGTTCCGGAGACCACCTCACGACCGCGCAATGACGTTCCAGACTATTTCCGAGGAAACCAAGGTGCAGCCTAACGAGATCGAGCACTTGATCATGAAGGCGCTGAGTCTGGGATTGCTGAAGGGGACAATTGACCAGGTGGCGGAGATTGCGCGCATCAACTGGGTGCAGCCGAAGGTGCTGGATATGAAGCAGATCGAGAATATGAGGGGTCGACTGAAGGAATGGGATGCAAGCGTTAATCATCTGGGCAATTGGATCGAGGGCGTTGGCAAGGATGTGTGGGCTGCTTGAGCGAGCGAGCCTGGCAGAGTTGCGGATTAGGCGAAAACTCTACAGCAGAGTGTCTCAACGACGTCTGTTTGAAGATAAGCTCGCGTAGCATGGCATGAAGAACGCGCTTCGAGCACAAATCATCAAGATAGATGTATCATAGATCTTGGCAAGCCGACTACACCAGCGGCATATCAATGAAATCATGAAGTACCAAAATGCTTTTATGCTTGACTCCAGGTAATGCTCTATATGGTATCAGACAGGACCTTCGTGCTGTAATACATGCCGCACATGGCTCGACGCTGATATGGATCAGGTGTATGCTCAGAATAGCCCCAGCGCAACCACAACACTCCCACAAAGCCACGCCGGCCACCAGACCAGCCACATAACAACCTGCGTCCACAGCCCCCATACATGCCAACCCTCCGCCGCCTTGACTAGCACTTCCAGCAACTCCACCCCGCTCACCGCCGTCGCAGCCTGCACCATCATGATCGGATTCACCACCACCAGCGCAGCAAACATGCCTGCACTCTTCACAAAACTTTCGCTCCTCCGTATAAAGCTCAATGGTGCAGTCAGTATACCCACCATCAGGCTCTGACTGAAATTCACCGTGGCGAGCGCGGCGAGGAACATGCCGAGAAACAGCAGTGCGAAGCAGTGTATAAGCGTCGATTCTTGGGGTGTGGGGCGCTCGAATTGGCGTAGGAAGTAGGCGATAGCGAGGGGGAGAAGAGTACTTAGGTTTGCGGCGAGGAGGAAGGAGGGTTTAAGCTGCTCGACGTGGAGGATGTTGAAGGCGGCGAGGGGGATGAGCCCAAGGAAGTGGGCAGTTAGGATGAAAATGGTTGGGAGGAAGAGGGGCCGTTCGGATACTTGAAGGGCAGTGGTGGGGATGATAACGGTTGCGTCGTCATTTTGAGCGACTGTTGTAGAGGTCACATTGGATTCGGATTGTTTGGATTCGTCTTGCTGTTCCTTATTCTCCGCTGATTTTGTGGAAGATGCTTGGGATGGAGTCTTTTCGGTAGGCTTCGTAGCTGCAGGGTTTGGTATGGATTCTTGAGGCCGCCCGCTTTGTACCCAAAGTGCAATTGCCGTTATGCTGAAGTTTGCTGCGATCAACATAGCAGAGGGCAGGTATGTCCCTATGCTGACGAAGCGCTTGGCTTCTAGTAGTAGGTAGAAGAAGAAACTCTGGTGCAGGTGCTCGAGGAGATTGTTCAAGCTCCGGAACAAGCTCTCCACTGTGCGCCCTAAACTCATCTCGTCATGCCAGCCATCACCTACAGTGATCAGCGTGATAGCGTCAACATGATACGGGATGAATGCGCTGTGTGGTCCAGTGGCGTGTCCAAGGCCTTGGGAGAGCATGCCCCGCAGCATGGTTTGTAGACGCTCTTGGTACGTGTCGGCGTGTTGCCACATGCGCTGCAGAGTGCAGGCTATGCCCATCTGGCCGGATGCGATATTGACAGCCGTGTTGAAGAGATCAAGGTTGGGAAGCTGACCGTTCGTGCCATCGTATACAATGTGGAGCTTGTCGTACCTATGACCCCACGGTCCGGCAGGATATTCGACGGCCACGGCGCCCTGGAGTGCACCGCTCTTGATTGCGAGGCTCTCGATCATAGTGGGATCATGCGAGTCGTGATATGCGTCGACCCAAGCCTGCGATCCGCTTGTGCTGTCTCCGGAAATCAGGAATATGATGTCCTTGCTCCACAGACTCCACCTCTTGAAGTAACGGGCGAGCGCGAGGACGAGAGCCACACCAGAGTAATTATGTTCGCCGTCCATAGTCTTAAGTGATGCCATCAGGACAACAGCCTCTGTTGCATCAGCGCGAGGGCCCTGCAGCACGGCGTAAACATTCTCGTCGGAGATATTGCGGCCAGAGGGGAGGTATGTGTATTTTTGCGTTGCAACCTTGAGATTAGACGCCCGAAAGAGCTCACTCAGCTTCTTACTCCGCCTACACTCAATTAACATCTTTCCGCCACGCAATTGCAAGCAGGTATACGTACTGATCCACCGGTAAGTCCACCAAGCCCGCAACTTCATGCCTATAAGCTCTGAAGACGTTGTGCTCGCTGCCCGTAAAGTAAGTGTGCACCTGGCCCGGCAGCAGTGCATTCTCGGAGACGTAGGTAGAGCGCGAGTATTCGTTCAGCGGAAGGACGAGCAGCCATGCGACGCCCACGAGGATGAGCAGTGCGGAGAGGTAGGGGGGTATCTTGAGAATGCGGGCATCCTTACGGAGCGCCAGCAGCGTAGCTTCCGAAAATTAGCCCTTACTATTGTTCATGGTCTGGGACACTGGAACTCACCTAACAGCGCCATTCTGGCCACCCCTCGCAGCGGTTGGTGTGGTGTCGAAGCTCTAATGCGCCGTTGTCCATACGTTGATGATCGGCGTTAGTACATCTCCGACCCTGGACTTTGCACGCGCCCAATCTCGAGTCGCGTCGGCCACCTTTCTGTCTTACTTTTCTTCCTTTCTTCTCACATCGTGGTTTGGCATCGTCATGCCCTCTCTTCCGCAGTTCAATCCCCTACGGATCCGCTCGTACGTCTTCCGGTTACCACTCGCGACTCGGTTGCTCGTCGCGGCTATTGTAGGATTGTGGATTGCGTGTATACCGTTTCCATGGATAAGAGACGCCGGGTCTTTGAGCCCTGACAAGTTTGATCTAACGCAAAGTATGTGGAAATTCTCGCTGCGCCTGTCTTCGGAGGCCGCTGTGGCGATTTGGCAAAGTTGGACAGCTACGGATGTGACGGCTTGGAACTGCGAGGCAGCTGTCAAGAGCTGAAGCACACGCTAAAGAACTGGTGGACTTCTTGCATGCAAACTATGTATGGGGTACTGAGCTGATGTCTGATTTACAGTGCACCGACTCAACCTATTTCCTCTCCTACATCTCGGCTTCCTCCATATGCTCTTCGACGTTTTCGCGATCACGCCTCTCCTCGAGCGCTTCGAATCCGAATTTGGCACCATTGTCACATTATCCTTGTTTACCGGACGTAAGAATGCATATATGCATGGTTGGAGACATTGTAGTTGACTAGATGGTAGCTTTCGGTCTATTACCGGGCGGCTTGTACTTGATCTTGGAGAAGTTCATACTGAGGAGCAATACAGCAGTCATGGGGTCGAGGTATGCTCCAGGAATACTACTTATCAGGAATTAGATGCTGACGAGCTACCCTATAGCGTGTGGGTATTCCTGCTTCTCTCGCTTCTGAAGCCATGAAGACGCATAAGGCGAACCCAAACTTCAAGTACACTGCGCCACCTTCCTCTCTGTCTTTCACTGAGCTAACGTATTCATAGCATCGGCCCCTATAAGATCCCTACTTGGACCACCCCTCTAATCCTCGTCTTGATAACCTCCTTCATCGTCCCGAATGTCTCATTTCTAGGCCATCTCTGCGGCGCCGCAATCGGTTATATCTGGGCAACGGGCTACATTAAGTTTCTAGTTCCGCACGAAAAGATATTGCGCTGGGTGGAAACCAAATTGAATCTATTGGGTAGATTACCGCACTATGTGAGCGTTGACCAGAAGACGTATGGGCGGTACGGTGTGCTACCTACGGCGGTGCCACTGGGCAGCGTAGCAAGGGAACCGAGGAGTCCGGATGTTGGGCAGAGGTTAGGTCCGTGACCGTTGGACAAAGGGGGGGGGTTGGATAGGGGCTTGCATATCTTGGGATGTCGAGCCTCATTGTGACTGATATTCACGCATGGTAGCATGTATATTTGGCAAGGCGTTTGGGGTCACCGCATTAGGAAGTCTGGGTCCGAAACTTCCTTGTCCTTTGCAACTGTACTGTTGTGTGTATAGTTCTGTGTAATAGATACCGCGCATTCGTCTTGGACGTATTTTCTCACGTCCACATCTTTGAGCCACTGAGAAATCCCATAGCTTGTAAGCTGTTGACAAAGGCTTGCATCTTTACAGTTGTTTTAATATAACAAAGAAGGACACCGTAGAAATTTCGAGCGTGCTAGACAAAGCGCCAAACCCCCTAGCCCCTGGCCCAATCATCTTTCATGCGCCCTCCACCCCACACGCACCAACAATGCCTCCCCACCACATTATTTTGCCCCGCTGTCAACATTTTTCTCCTGGTCTGGTTCCATTCCATTTGCCCTCTGAATGCAAGGCATATATATTTGTAAACCCAAAAATTCCCCATCAATCAATCAAGCCCAACAAAGCCTCTTCGGCTTTATCGTCTCGTTGGTGTAGTTGGTTATCACGTGGGTCTCATAGCCTCATTACTATGACTGCTCTCAGCAGCAGATATCCCAAGGCCGCCAGTTCGAGTCTGGCACGGGACAGCAACATCTTTTTTTCTCTCCTTGTGTGTAAAGGTAAAGCTGAAGTTACATTGCTTGATAAGATGGAGGGTTTTTTTGTGAGCGAGATATGTAGTTAGGTTATGTAAGTATTGATTAAATGGATAGATAGATATATCTACACTGATTTCAACGGATGTTATATAGTTCATTCTATTCAGTGCATAATTGGTGGGCGCGATGATACGCTTCAACATCCAATGTGTGAGAGATTGTAATGTGACACGCGTAGCACTGCAAAAGACAACCTTGCCTTGTATGGTCCAGAAAATATTCATTGAGTGGGGTATCAAGATTATGCAAAATCTCACTTTTGCTCGCTAACTACTTTTTCAAGATATTGCCGCAGCAGCGACTCCGTACTCTTCGGATCTTTCCTCTCCTCCGCATCTGTCCAATGGCGGTAGAACTCCAGGACCACCTCAACAGCAATTAAAGCAATGATGGCCCATTCTAACCTCAATCCATGCTTCTCGCTGAGCGATTCCCGCAACACGCTCGCAATTTCCTGCGCAAAGCCAATCTTCTCGTTCAAAACTTTGATGCGTACGCCGACATCCAGCGCACGTCCCATCTGGTCGTAGTACTCCCCTAGCCCTAACTCGTGACGACTATCCCAGAAGATATCGGGCATAGAGTCCGTAAGCTCTGAGTAGAGGTTGAGCTGCGCGCGGATGTTAAGGAGCTCGCCAGTCTTGCGGAGGATGAAGGAGCGAGTAAAAGGGACATTTTTCCTGCCTAGCGTTCTATCATTGCCCTTGGCGAGCATGATGGGAATCTCGCGTGTCGAGTCTTGATATGCACTCAATAAAGTTTCGAGGATAGCAAGCTTAGTAGAGCGGGCAAGACCAGACGAGAACGCGATCTTGGCGAGGACTGTATCAATTTCATGGCGCTGCTCATTGTCTTCTGTGCCTACTTCCTTGGCCGCGTCAAGCCCCTCTTGCTCGGTTTTTGTGCCCAGCACTATAGTGTCTCCCACTACCTCACTTGATTCTCTTGTTGGGTCTTCTAAGTATTCCAGGTCCTCTGTTTCTAGCAAGTCTAAATGCGAGCCGTCTGCCGCAGCGGGCAAGACGCGGTTCACCAACTGAAGAGCTTCCCTTTCTCGTACGTTCCAGGTGACGACCGTTCCCGAGGGAAAGACGAAAATGTCGCCTTGTTGGGAGTCCTTCACTTCTGACGGTCGTTCCCGTGTTTGAACATGGATGACTTGCGGATAGAGACCGGTTTGTAAGGGGTCAAGCTCATAACCTTGGGCCTGGATCAAGCGAGCCGCTGAGGAGATATTGTACGTTTCCGCCGCACAGTACGCGGTAACCGTCTGCAGTCATTGTCAGCCATCAAATCGGCCCTTATCAATCACTAGTCCCTACCTTTGTGTCGACATGTGGGTCTACGAAGCGCTTGCTCCCCCGGCCCTTCACGAAGCCTTGTCTCGATCGTTGCGCTTCGACAGCGACCCGCCTCAGTGACGACGTCTTGCCTGCATGCTTCTTCACGCCCTTTTTATCCGCCACAGCTTCTTCTTTTATCGGTGTCTCTGTTTCTGACTCTTGCTTCTGGGCGAAGTCAACCTTCTTGTGAATAGTAGCAGTCAAGCTGAACGGTCGTGATTGGTGCCATTGGGGGCTCGCGGGCGGCAGTCTCGATGCGTGGGATGATAGAAAGCGGAGTGCGGAGACGATGCTCCGTGTTAAGTAGGTCATCACATCGCTGGGATAGATAGGAGATTGAGATGTCGAAGAAATCGAGAGCAACTTTGCCAAGCTGCCGCTTACATAATGGTTACAATCACATGTTTACTTACGACTAATGAGCAACTCAATTCGGTCCGAGTCGTCCCTTTGGTAGTCATACATAGTGTCCATTCACAACAACAACAGTCGATCACTTATCGTGAGTCAAAAGAACGTATACAGTTTGGGTAATTCCAAAGCACTCTCTAGAGATCGGTGGCTCATGGTCACTGTCACTCGGGATCACAAAAATTCGGGCACCCTCTGGTGTACCCAGACTTGACTAAAACCGACAAGAAAAGGCCAGATATCTACCTTTATGTTATAGATCTTGTAGTAACTCACTACATAATGCAGCAGGCATACATTCAAAATTTTTCAAATTAGACTACCTTTTTTCCCAGGTGGTCCAGCGTGTTTCTCTGTACACAGCGCTCACGACTTATTGCAGCAACTGGCACCATCTGAGCTTCCCTGGATGCAGTGCTATACATCCAAGCAGCGGATTATGGATGAGTTTTCATATCATTTGCCGTCTTTTGATATTGGCAACAATTCCAATAATCTCACAGATGGCCCTTGTGGTTATTCTGTTGAAAGCGGCGCACATCGGTATACGAGAAAAGGCAAACGGTTGGGAAGGCAGCAGCTCGATGACCTCACTCGAAGCTGGGTGTTTCTACCCCGCCAGTAAGCATGCAGCCCCAGAATACCAAACCGCCCCATTCAGCTCCACATGCCGTATACGAGGTGCAGTCGGCTTCGCATCGCTCGTAAAATTAATATCCCCATCCTGTCACCATTCGCAGGCTTCTTGTACTACCCATCACCGTCAGCGAATGACACACCGAGAAGTGACAAAATAATGGAGGGTAGGGTATCACAGCAGCAACAAAGCAGTTCTAGAGCATTTCTTCTCTCGTGAACAAGTAATGGGCCGGGGTAACAGACGTACGCTAAACTTCGACCATAGAGCAGGCACACATATCTCCGAGGCATACACCACCTGATCTTTCGGATCCCAAAATAGCGTGGAAATAGCCTCAATGCCTTGCAAGTCATTCCTCGCTCGCTGATCACCACCTGTAGAAATAGTCTCAGTGCCCTTCAAGTCATTCCTCGCTCTCGCTGATCACCACCGTCTTTCACGCTCCCGTACCCAAATCCTTTCCAGCGATGATTTCCTGTACCAACCTCACAACATATTATCTAGACTGATCCTGCGCACAAGCTACATAGAGCTGCAATGGAGACGCCAACACCCTCCGAGATAGAATTTATGGTAGCACATGTTGAGGACACTAAAATACCTGGTATGATTGCTTCGAGCTCCGTCTGTTTGGTCTTCGCTACATTGGCCGTCGCACTCCGTTTTATATCGCGGCTTATGAGCGGGATCAAGCTTCGCTCGAGTGACTGGGCGATACTTGTAGCCTTGGTAGTTCTACCCTTGCCTCTATAGCCACATATTCGCTTTAAGCTTACACACTTCCCCCAGTTCTTGTTCACAGTGTACGAAGCTGCTTTTCTACGTAGCAGTGCATACGGCATGGGCAGACACATTGTTGTAGCCCAAATCAAGCCCTTCGTACTTGTATGACATCGTACCAAACTCCCCATCGAGTCTGCTCGTTGACCATCTCTTAGTGGGAGATAGTGGCTGAGGCAGCATATGTTATCACCAGTCTAGCTATCAAGATCTCCTTTGCCTGCCTCTATATTCAGATCTTCCCGTATGTTTGGATGCGCGTAGCGAGTATTGGCGTTGGCTGTGCGGCCGTCTGCCACTCCATAACCTTCACCATCAGTGCATCCCTCCGGTGTGTCCCGTTGGCCGCGCTCTGGGATCCCACCATTACCGACGCAAGTTGCTTTCCTCTTGTTCCAATGATGATTGCATTAGCTGTTGCCAATATCCTCATCGACTTCGCGATCCTGACCCTGCCGCTCAAACCAATCTGGGACTTGATGATCTCGCGAAGTAGAAAGTGGCAGCTAAGCATAAGTTTAACGGTCGGATTCCTGTAAGCCTCTACATCATCGGTGTTGACCTGATATTTACTGACAACTGAAGGGCTTGCATTGTTGACATAGTCCGTATGCCTTATCTGCAAAAGATGGGGTCCGCTGATATGACATGTAGGCACTACGTATCCTTGGAACAAGATCTGGATAAAACGTCTAATGCGAGAACAGGGGACGATGTCGAAGCAGGCATCACTACAACTGTAGCACTCACCATTGCTATCATTGCCGCCTGCCTGCCCGCCTGCAAACCTATCCTCAATCGAGTGCTGATATCATTGGAGATCAAAACTCCCCGAAGCGACTCTCGTTCAGTCACCACTGTCTCCTCGAGCAAAACAAGTCAGAGGGTCGAATCTGTCGATGAAATAATCAAACCTGTCATTATAAGGAGGTCGGAGTTTGAGGTCAGCTTCATGGTACTCCACGATGAAGAAATGGCAACATCGAGCAGGACCAACATAGTTTCCGCTCAGTTGCCTTGAAATCACTGCACGGTATGATACACAGTATAGAATTCGGATAGTGAATTGAGTAAAGCGAACATGTAAGTTACCTTCAGCTTGATTAGAATCGGAGAGTCTGTCCTTGTAATGTAAGGCTAACTTATCCTAAGATCATGTATACTTTCATATATGCTTTAGCTCATGCTGCCTTCCAGGCTGCCTTTGTAGGGTAATATCTGAACCTTTGCTACAATCGCTATGGTACGAATCCTCAATGACGACCTACTCCACACTCAAGAACAACAATCGCCTCGGATGTCGAGAGGCTTGTTCGTCTCTATTATAGCCTGAAGAGCCTATTCATACGCGCTTTCTATTAGCTCAAATTCATACATTATTTGAAATGTACTGATGCATATCTTAATGGTTACGATGCTTATCAGATATCCATATACATTAATTAGCTGTGTTCTCTAACTATTGCCAACAGTAGAGTATGACCCACACACCGCCGTAACCCATGAAGAATCGTCATTGATCTTTGCTCTTTTGAAATTTGAGGTGCCATTTCAGGATTGAAAGATGTGCAACAAATCTATCATTTTTCCGGCGCAATGTGTAGGGCGAGCTGCCTGAGCAAAGCCGCAGATGTCTGAGATTTGGAAGTGTTACATCGTCACATCGAATGATAGCAACAAGGGACAGCACCGTCATTGGCTCGTAATGCTTCTCTGTTCTGCTCTACGAGCAAAGATGTCTATAAGCAAAGATG